AGGCTGAGGAGGAGGGAAAGCCTGTCCCCCAACGAAATACCCTCCTGTGTGACCGGAAGGGGGAGCCTCCCGCTGGGGACCCCAGTCGCAGGGGACCCCAGGACGTCCTGGCGACCCCAAGGCCTGACCCAGCGCTGGGGTCCTTCGAGGGCTGGGGGGTCAGGAGCTGCCTGACAAGCACCCCTTTTTCTCCTTCCCTAACTCTGCATTTATTTATTTTTAACACTTTAAACCCCATGTTCAAGGGGTCCACATGCAGGTTCCAAGGGGATATATATTCGGTGCTGGTGAGGTCTGGGTGTCTACTGTCTTGGCACCCAGTGGGTGAGCATGGTGCCCAAACCATAGTTTTCCAGCCCTTGTCCTTGTCCCCTCCTTCCCCACTGCAGAAGTTCCCACTGTCTGTGGTTCCCATCTTCAGACTGCAGGCAACCAGTGTTTAGCACCCACTTAGGTAAGAACACACGGTATTTGGCTTTCTGTTTCTGTGCTAATTCGCTTGGAATGATGGCCTCCGGCTGCATCCACGCCACGGCTCAGGACATGAGTTTCTTCTTCTTTACGCCTGCGTAGTATTCCACGGTGCCTGTGTACCACGTTTTCCTTATTCAGTCCACCAGTGACAGGTACCTGGGTGGGCTCCATGTTTTCTAAGCCCTGCATTTAATCTGGGGCTACCCGGGTCCTCCACCTACTTCTTCCCAGACAAACCCTTCAACCCTCACACAGACTCCACTAAGTCTGGCACCCCTCTAGCAGGCCAGAAGGAATCCATCTCAGCAGAAGGGCCCGGAAGAGGAGGTAGAAATAACTCAGACAGGTCTGGGTTCAAGTCCCAGCTCTGCCACCGACTGAGAGGCCTCTGCACACCGGGTCTCGTGCAGCTGCACCGGGGTCCTCAGCCAGGAACAAGGGCTTCCTCCAGCATCAGGCTGTGACTGGCGAGAGCCTTTGCAAAGGCTCTGGAGCCCGTCCGGGTTGCGGCATCAGTCCCAGTGCCTGTCCGAGGAAGCGCTTCGTGTTGGCTAAGTTGACGTCTAGAGGACTGGGATGCTGTAACATTTAAAAATGAGCAAAGCCTCCCTGGGAAGTCTGGGGGGTGTGGGTGGGCACAGACAGCCCCTGCCTGCCCCTCCGCTGCAGCGGTAGCCTCCTTCTTCCACAGTGTGGCCCTGGCGCCGAGGCTATTCCCACTTTCCAGAGAGCAGTCGCCCTTGCCTCTTACAGCCCAAGCCTGGGGGAGGCCCTGCAGGAGCCCCAGAAACCAAAAGCGTAAATTCCAGATCTCCAGTCCTGAGGGCCGCACTTGTGGCCCGCTCGGAGTAGGAGCTGGGTGCCCTCCACCGACTCCCATCTGCTCTTGTGGAGAGGGGAACCCTCTTATAGGCTGCACGGTCCCAGTCGGGGACCCTCTCACCACTGGGCTTTCCGTGGGGGGTCAGAGAGGAGAACACCATCGGTCCCCAGCTCCCACGTCCTTTCTCTCTGTGGCAGCCAGGCCTGTCTACTACAGAGGCAATCCAGGTTTTTTTCCCAGAAGCGTATTGCCCACTGGCCCACAGTCCTGCCTCCCATGCTGGGATGGTGAGAAGACCCCTGGCACCTGGCTTGCCCTGGAGAAGGCTGGGCACAGGGTCCCAAACGGAAGCGAGAGTCCCAGGTTTCAAAAACCTGCACCGTGGCCCGGTGTGGTGGCTCACACCTGTAACCCTAGAGTTTTGGGAGGCCGAGGGGAGAGGATCGCCTGGGAACAAGAGTTGGAGACCAGCCTGGGCAGCATAGCAAGACCCTGTCTAGTCAAAAATCTCCGCCAAACTAGAACTTTAAAAAAAAAAAAAAAGAGTAATGGCACTGTAGTACTTTGCGCCCCGGGGCATGGATCAGATAGCTTCCGGGGGGGCCTCTCCGAATAGCGCAGACTCACACACACCTGCCTGCCAGGGAGGCCTCTCACCCAGGGACGGGCCGCCAAGGTATTTAGAGACCAGGCTGGGGGAAAGTCAGGAGTCCTCATCTCAGGCCTGTAACCTCAGCCTGTCTCTCCTCCTGTTACAGACGAGGAAACTGCGTTCTGGAAGTTCCCCAAAAGTGGCACCAGTCGCTAAACAGCACGGTGCACCTGGGTACCCCTCTCTGGCCCAAGATAAGGCCCCGACACCCCTCGAGAGCAAAACAGGGGCGTCACTAACGAAGGAACCGGGTGGAGGAACCCCTTGGGTCCGCTCGAGCGGGGTCCCTCCGCGGGACACTGACCCCGAGTTTTCCGGGCGAAAAGGGCTGGTTTCGGTTTTCCCGGGGCTTGGGGCGGGCCAGGGACCCCGGCCAGGCTGGAACAGGAGCGGCCTGCAGGGCGGAGAGGGCACAGGAGCAAAGGGCACCCGTGTCGCTTCTGCTTCTCCCGCGCCGCACTTTCCAGAAATACCCTGGTCCCCGGTCCCCGCCACTGTGTTAC